AGTCCTCGATAAGATGCATGACGCTTTGAACGCTCTGGAAAATAGTTCCTTAAAGAGGGCGGAACGCGCTTTAGGAGAAGGTACTGCCGGCTTTTGTATCGAAAAGGATAAAGGCCATAAAGCTATCCAATAAGAGCGAATTTCGTTGGCGAGTAACGGTCACAAATATCTATGTGGCAAGCACGCGTCAAATTCTGATAACGAAAAGAAAATGTCTCGAGCAGGGAGGATAGCGGTTAAGGATAAGCGTCGTTGGCAGTAACGAGCTAGTTCTTTTCGGAAACCATCGAGGTCAACAGTCGAGCACTTCGATATGATTTGTAGGATCTTGCGGTCATCTTGCGTATAACGGTTAAGCAGAATTTTTATTTCTCAACATTTCATTCATTGCTTGGCATCCTTGGTCTTCAACGTACATACACAACCATAACCTCAGCGCCTCCGACGTCGGCTTGAGAAAAGAATAAAACAAAAAAATTAGCTGATAAATAATACGAAGTAAACTATTTATTGAGATCTCATTAAATAAACGATTATCATAATCCATATTTAGGGAAAGATGGAGAAGAAGAAAACAAATGAAAAGTTGGAAAAAGTGAACTTTCCTGAGTGAAACCGATTTTTGAACACCAGTCTTGTAATCATGGGAGACGTTAAATTTCAGATGCCTTGAGCAGTTATTACACTTCTCCTCTTAATTTCCTACCGAGATTTTGCCCCAGTAATTAACAATTGCAATTAAATTCTGACACGCAGACGAAATAAACAGAGGGGACAGGGGGACAGGGCGTCTTAAAATGCCACTATAACCTATTCATGAAAGGTCGACATGGCAATCTGGCGAGTACTCTCTATTTGACACAGTGTGACATCCTTCCTCTTCTCCTCCCCCCCCCCCCCCCCCCCCCCCCCCCCCCCCCCCCCTCTCCCTTTGAAAAATCCAGGTCATGTCCCTGAAGAATAAAACGAAATGGCCGAATTATCCAAGCTGTCGACTAGATCAGTTCAATGATTATCTCAGCAAAACGAAAACAGAATTATTATTCCATACCGTTTCATCTGCTTTAATGAAAAAAAAAAAAACAAATGAATGGCAACGAAACCATTCCATGAGGTCTGTTTAGGAAATATCTTGTTATTTCCCTGATTTAATAACAAAAACAAACAAACAAACAAACAAAAACAGTAACAGAGGTATTGCAAGATTTCTCACATCAATTTTTACCATAACAGAGGTATTTCAAGATTTTTAATATCAATTTCTACCTTGGACATTATTCCATGTGATTCTGTGAGTTTTCTTGCTGAATAGAATTGCCGGCACAGGGTGAAATCTCTCCCAGACACAGTAAGATCCTCCGATTATAAACCACCCAACATCATTACGGCATCCTGCGTACTTAGCTGTAATTTCAAATTTTCGTGAAACAGAATGGCCATTGATGCGAAAGGGTTTTAAAGTTGTCGCATTCTTAAGATCTGTCCATGGTGATTGAAGTAGATTATTTTGTGTAAACCAGTCCACGTTAGTTGTTCCTCTGGCATTGAACTTCATAGACATAACTTCTGCCCCATTCGTGTAAAGCACTACACGAACCTAAAGTCATACAAGAAAATTATCTGTTGTTTACATATCAAATACATAAGCATGGGATAAGATAACAATCGTTACATCGGGGAATTTAAAGAATTGTTGATCAATTCTTATTGTGTTTTTACAAACTTATTTTCAGTACCACATGCCATGGCTCTATGTAAACTCGAGAAGGCAAAGTTTTGAGCCCGAAGTTATTGTATCGGCTTGGTTCTAGTATCACTTTGTCTTTGGCACTGCAACCCTTGTTTTTCAATCGTCCTCGAAGCATTAAAAGCTCCCTCACACCCTGAGTACTTTTTAACGTAATTTCGGATTGAGCAATTTTATTTCAGATCAGAATTTTCTTTCAATATTTTATATCATTGTGGTTTGCATATTTTGTTGTGGTTTGACCTTGCGACCGGTCGTTGTTTCTCTTGCAAGAATTTCACAATTTTAAAACATATAACTCCTTTTCTAAGAACTATTCTCCTACAAGGATAAAACATAAGCACTTTTCTTATACCTATTCCCAAGACGATACACTCTTAAGGTTTGGGAAGTAA